TTACATGGCATAAATAAACAATCACGAATGATAAAAATTTAGCCTACAAGTGATAAAACACTTGTAGACTAAGACCACATATCCAAATATTTCTCTAAAAAAATTACCAATATGTTTGTACAATCAATATCTTAAACACAAATAGTGAAACAGTGAAAAATTAAACCAAATACTCAAATGTTCGGATAAAAATCGTACAAAAACAAATTCACTTTTTAAATATAAATAATAATGCAATTTTCTAAAAAGTATTTGAAATTAAGAAAAAACTTATCTCTTACTATATATATAGATATATATATATATATATATTTAAAACTAGCAACTGTTGTTAATTTTTTTTAAAAGAATTTTGGTATGGATATTTTAACTAGCACATGTAATCACAATTATACTTATATAATTGATTAGCCGCTAGTTTAAACATTTTACAAGTACCACAATAGATAACAAAAGGGGCCAAAATAAACACAAACAACAACCTAACTAATCAAAAAATCCAACCAGAAGAATTTGGTTAGAGATTCAAAGTGTTTTTATTTTTATTTACCAACGACAAAACAAGTTTATAAGACCTCAAAACGAAGTACAAACCGAACAACCAACTGATTGTTACAACTAAGACTCCGATTTTTAAACCTTTGTGTTTGTTTGAGAGGGATAAGAGAGTCCTTAGGACAGTGAGTGATCTTCAAATTGGGGAAGAGGGTGTTGGAGTAGAATACCCGGCGTTCCAATCAGATTGGATTTATTTCTACTTGTAAAAACAATTTATTGGAATTATATTATTAAGGCATTGTTTTATCTTATGTTTTTGCATTTATCCTATATTTGTACATATGATAAAGTCCTTAGATCATTAATGGCTATAAGGCATGGTTGCGCATTTGATGGTAATCATGGAACATATCTTTAAAGCTGTGATCTTAAATACAGTTCCAAGTCGTTGGATATTTCGAGATGGGATATCGAATAATCCGGAAAGACTTGTACATATGATGTATACTTGTTTGACAATAATGTTGCATTCCATCAACATTAGCGTGGATCGCAAATACATATATGTGGGGTGCTTGTTAGAGAACAAGTTCACTGAACATGACCGTATGAAAATTCTGAATGAAAGTTTATTATGTCGAATAAGAATTTCATGTTACAATAGTACATGATTGATCCTTAGACTTGAGGCACGATAGTAACTTTGTGCATATTATATTTTACTTTGATTTATCCTTTTGATTGCTAGCACAGTCGTATAAAGGGATATTTTGGGTATTATATTAATATGAATGGAAGTTTGTCAGTGGCCAACAAAGGATTCGACATTTATGAGATAAGTGAATTTCCTATGTGTTTCATAGTTTGTAATTCAAAGTCCTTGGCCAAGGCGGGATGAATAGAGATTCATATATGAATTATTAAACTTGAAATGGAATCATAGTTATTAAATCAATTTGGGTTTCGACTAAATCATACCCAAGATTTAATCGGGAAATTGAACGTCGAAAGGATTTTACATGTATGGACTTGTAATTGAAAAGGTTTACTCGCTATTCACTTAATACTAGATTCATGCTACTTGCTAGATGTTCCCATGATATGTAGGTTCTTGAATTAAGGAGTTAAATCAAAGAATAAAAATTAATTTGATTAATTCAAATTACAAGGAGTTGTGAACCCACTACTAGTATTAATAGTGAACCTAAAAAGGTCACACCCAATTTTGAATGTAGATCATTTGTAATTAGTATTTCTAAAGAGTTAGAATTAATTGACTATTAATTAAATAATTTGATTATTTAATTAATTCTAATTTTGATTAGATATCAATTAAAGGAATATACTAAATTAATCAATTTGATTGATTAATTATATTTTGGATATTAATTAAGTAATTAATGGAATTACTAAATTAATAGTTGGATTTTAAAATTAGATTTTAAAATTCAAATCCATATTATAATATGATTATAATAAGAGGAGATTTTATAAATATGTGAAATAATATATTTTGATTAATTTTTATCAAAGATTAAAATAATAAATAAAATATTATTAGATGGGATCTAATGACATTTTTTTATTAAAATCATTTTAGATATAGATGCCATCTAATTTGAATAAAATAATGATTTTAAAAATACAATATGACATCTTGTGATCTAAATGTTTTAGTATAAATAGGTGTACATATGTGATGTACAAATGATACACTTGTATTAACAAGAAAATTGAGAGAGAAAAATCACAAGAGTTGTAAATCAAGAAGTGTTCTTGAACTTAGAGAATTATTTCCATATCAAGAATAGTTCTTGAAAATTTTAATAAAGATTAAAATTATAATCTCCTCTAAAATAAATATTTCGATACTAATTGAACAAATCGAGAAGTTTCTACTAGCGAAGAAACTAGTTCTCGAGATTGAATTACAAAAGGGTTGATACTTTTAGAGGGGAGACACTTGGATCCCTCGGGTGAGTAACAAGAGACGGTGAAAGTCACATACAACCGGGAATTGATTTCCTCAATCATCGTCGTATAAAGAAGGAGTTCAAGATAAGAGGTAATTTTCGAAATTACTTATTACAAATCAAAATTCGTATTTATATGTGATTTTAAAAGATGCCGATCGTAACAATCGCTATTTGAACCGAGGGGTTTAGTATTTATTAGATAAATGCTTATTTATTTTATTTTATTTCCGCTGCGTTTTATCCCGTACGATATAGCGAATCCAACAGAGGGAGAGTGGGATAGAGAGCTCATAGAACAAACTTTTCTTCAGTTACCAAAACCTCTGAAAAGGAAAAAGGATAGAATAGTGTGCAACCTCAATTACAATGGGAAATTTTCAGTCAAGTCAGCCTATAAACTTCTAGAAGAAAATTTAGAAAAAAAAAATGGAGAACCAGAATCAAACAAAAAAATCAATCTGTTGAAAAAAGTATGAAAAAAAAACATGGAACTTGAATGTCAAAATAAAATAAAGATGTTTTTATGGACGTGTTGCACTGGATTTCAGTTACTCAAGACAAAAAAAATAAATAATAAATAAAAATAGAAGTGCAAAGGGATAGCATCTGTGAACTGTTAGGCTTTGTTGGAAATGGTACAGTAAGAACAAATGCCATTAATGAGCAAGCATTCAAACAAGCAAGTTTGAAGATGAAATTGATAAAATCTGAAAAGTGTATTGCTTCGGCTTTCTCTACAAGATGCCTTTAAATAGAGACTCACCTATGCTAAACCCTAGGAATCTACAAATGGAAAAAGGGCACGTGACCATCCTTAGCCTGCTACCTCAGTACAAGAAAAGGAGAAGCTTACAGCTCATACCTGCTGCTCATGAATGTACAGCTCATGCATGCAGCCAAAATAAGGAAAATAAACTTATAGGATTAATATACTATTTGGAATACTTAGGTGGTCTAATATCAATCTCAATGTGCTTTGTCCTTGCATGCAGAACAGGATTTGTTGCTAAAGATATTGTGCTGAGATTATCAGCCCAAACTGATGGGGTTGTGACTGGAGACACATGAAGCTCTCTTAGAAGAGATTGTAGCCATGTGATTTCAGCAGAAGCAAATGCTAAGCTACGGTATTCAGCTTCTGTGCTAGACGAAAATATTGAGGCTTGCTTTTTAGAGCACCAACATATAGGATTCCTGCCAAGGTATACACAAACACCAGTTATTGATTTCCTGTCATCAAGGTCACCACCCCAATTTGAATCTGAAAATGCTGTAAGTGTGAGGCTGGAATGCTTTGTGTAGTGTAAACCGTGGTCTATAGTGCCTGCTAAGTATCTGAGGATTCTCTTTGCAGCTTTTATATGAGAGTCTGTTGGAGATTGCATAACCTGACAGACTTTATTCATACTAAAAGCAATATCTGGTCTTATGATAGTTGCATATTGCAATGAACCCACAAGACTTTTGTATCCTGAGACATTTTGAATAGGTGAGCCTGTAGATTTTGATAGAACAAGAGAGGTGATCATAGGACAGGTGAGGCTTGGCTTCAATCATTTTCATTTTGAGAAAAAGATCCTTGATATATTTGGATTGAGAGAGGAACATTCCAGTAGAGGAACTCTTTACTTCCACACCAAGAAAGTGATGCATTTCAACCAAGGTCTTTGAGTGAAAAAGTGTGACTGAGTTGATGTATTAATGATTGAACCTCCTTGTCATTGCTACCTGTAATCAAGATATCATCAATATATACAAGGAGCCACAGTGTGGATTGCTTTGTGTCTTTGATGTAGAGAGAACTATCAGAGGTTGACTGAACAAGACCAAGGTTGTGGAGAACTCCTTTTAGCTTTGTGAACCAAGCCCTAGGAGCCTGTTTGAGGTCATAGAG